AGATCCAAAGGAAGACTAGATCTAATGCAACTATGAAGTTTTGAGGGAGAACGGATGCTCGAGGGAAGAGAAAAATGAAAAAAGGGTAGAGGGGGGGGGGGGCGGCCCACTAATGAAGAGGAAAAACCCGCTGCTTTTATGAATGTTTAAATAACCAAGACAGTTGAAGCGCAGACCAAACCAAAAGTTGAAGCCGGACCAGGACCTGGCTTGAACCAGATAAATTCAAATTGAAGGCCGAATCGGAGCATGCGAAACAAACTCAAATCGACAGGAGGGTTCCGGTCCTTGTTTATTATTGCTCTACCCACATGTTCGGAAAAATCAGAAGATTTTTTGAGGAGCCGAATTACTGCCTTTTTTGGCTCATTTATCAAGGCCGGTTCCAAGTTCATTGGGCAAGAAATTACTCCAATAAGGTATAGCGAGTATAAAACTATTCCCATATTTTTTGTTTGAGAAGTTCCTGGAAGAATATTTTTTCATAAAATATTGCGTTAAGGATAACTCAACAACACTACGGCCGGACAACGCGTCGGCAAATAAACTCAACGCCAACAGGGCACCTTGGGGATCGATGTCAGCTAAGAAGATAGAAAATCAGGAATCGGACTTCAGTTTAAAATTCATACAACGGTCAGACAATAAATGCAGCACCGGAACTCTTACAAACATTCGACAAAGCACCGAATAGCCTGGAAGATTGAAGGAATCAAGACCACCCCAGACTTGGATTCTGATGTCATTTTCAATCGGTGAAAGACTAAACTGGCAACGCAAACGAGGCTGAAATACTTTGGAGGGGGTATCTGTAGGCGTATAAAATTGCTTATAGGTCCCTTAGCATAGCTCGGCACAAACCGACGAACCAACGAGGCGATGAGGTTGACAAATCGCACGCAAGCAACGGAATACATCCATTCATGTGTGGAATCAAGCCAAGGGTTCGAAGAATCAACGAGTCATCCAAACAAGAGCGGACTCGGATGAATCACAACCGAATCAAGATTCAGTTTCGGACTCAAACTCAGAAGTGGATTTACTGCCAAAACAGGAATCGGATTTACTGCCAAATCAGAGTCTAAGTCAACCGAAAAATGGATACAACGGACAAAACGACGAAACAGAAACGCCTAAGGGTGGCTCGGCCAAGACCGAGCCACCCATGGGTGGCTCGGCCCAGTGCCGGCCACCCATGGGTGGCCGACCCAGATCTGTGCACGGGCACAGTTCAGAGAGCCTATAAATAAGCTCCCCTTTGTTTATTTGAACAGGTTGGAACTTTGAGAACCGAAACTCTGCCGAATTGAAGATTGAGCTCAGAGTTTTGAAGACTTGAAGACTTGAAGATTCAGATCTGGTTCTCGACGAGCGTCCACGTCACAAAAGGTAGGAGTTCGAGAGAGGTAAAGATCAGATCTGAGATCTACACGAAATCACACTCCGGATCAAAGCTTGGCCTTTGATCCCGAGATCTGGACGATTATTTCCTTAGTGAACTAATCCTCCCCGGCTATTATTTCCTTGGCGAAATAATACCCGTCGAATCGTGTAGATCTGACCGGATCTAGATCGCGCAGTGGTCCACGGATTAACCCCGGCGTCGGTAAAGAACCCACACAAGCAAGAGACCGCAAAACAGGATCTTGCGATTCGTTCGACAAATAAGGAGAAAGTTGTAATTTTTTATTTCTTTTTTTATTTTGATTTTCGTTGTAACCGGATCTAAAAAAAGACCGGATCTTTGTAATCGATAAACTATTACAAGAATTTGCAATGGAATCAATGATGAAGAAAGCAACAATTTTCACCGCGAACAGTCTCCACGTCGACCTCGACCTCGTAGGAGTCGCTCCCTTTCATAGCATAGCGAGGGAGAAGTTCCCACAGCATCCTCTCCAGCGGCATCCTTTTTCGGGGGTGAGAATCTTTATTTTCTGTATCCCTGATTGATCCCTTCGCGGGTCATTAAGGAAGAACCGACATCCTCCTTCGCGGGGATTGAGGTTTCAGGATATTGGTGGTTCCAAAATACCCTCGTTTGGCCCCTTCGCGGGTCATTTGGGAAGGACCGACACCCTCCTTCGCGGGGGTTGAGATTTCAGACTTGTTTTGCTTGGCCAATTCAAGTCTTCTGGTATATTAGGGCGATCTTGTGTCGTCTTACACCTTGTAGGTCGGTGTATGTTACCACGTTATTTACGTGATGATGCATACCGTTCTTCCAGTGTAGGACACTCAAAATCGTCTCTCCAATTACCCCGTGAATGATCTTATCTCGCTCTTTATGAGATGGATTTAATTCATGGATGATTTTCTGACTCTATCCTTGTTTTGTTGCAGTCGAGTTCCCCCCGGGCAGTCTCCCTCCTCATGCCACTACTGGTTGTAGCGGGGAGGTTTTCTCTTCGGTTTCTATCAGGCATGCTATTGGTCTACTCCCCCAGTTTGATAGAGATCGTTCTGACGAATCCTGTCGTTTGATACGGGACGGAGGGCGTCATTGCTTACGCTAGCTGATCACGGATGCTCCTTTTATTGCGGATTCCATTTCTACTCAGGCTTTAAAGAAGCCCAGTTTTCTGTTCGGAGATCATATTGAGGATCCTGCTAAGTTGACTCTTACCGAGGAGCATTGGCTGAATCATGACGAAGGAGCTCTCCTGTATATTCCTTCCATTCCTCTTGGCATCTTACCGATGATGCTGATCGAGTTCATTGTGGATACACATCCCAACATAAGACTCCTGGTTCTGTTGGGTATCATTATATTCACGGTCTTCGACCAGGGATTATGGGTCTTAATACCGCACCCCCAGGCGAGGTATCCGCAGCCGCTCCTACTATGAAGAACCGTCTGGCTCATCTTGGGAGGAGGTTACCTCCACCAGATTTTAGATGCTATGGTTGGGCTTTCTCACAACCCAGGGGATGGTGGACACGCATGACCAGTTACGTCTTGGGACATTGGGAGAAAGATTTGAAGAGCAGTGGGTTGTATGCACCTATACGAGCCACCATGTACGGACTCCCAGTCAGCTGCCGCCACTTCTTGGCATTGTTGGAGACATATATCCCCGATAGTAACACATTTCTGACTAGTGGTGGGGAGTTGGGGCTGGCCTTGCATGAGATGCACCAAGTTTCTGGCCTTCCAATGGGGGATTGTCCATACCAGGAGTATTTCCCCTCAAACCAGCAATTGGAGTGGCTAAAGAAGGATGCTCCCGATATGTACGATACTCTTTGGGATCTTGCCTGTCATTACCACACCTCTCTGATTAAGGTTTCTACTCAAGCGAAGAGGAAAAGGCAGATCAGCTTGAAGCAGTTTGCTGTCTATTTGTTCCAGCATTTGGAGGGTAATTCCGGCGAGCTCATTCGTGAATTAGATGTTTTGACACCTACCGTCATTAATGAGTTGATGGAGAAGGCTGAGGCTTGCTCTTACACCCTTGCCAGTGCTGAGGGAGCTTTTCCTGCAGGAACCAAGTTTCGTTCGTTCCTTTGTCATGCACAGAAGTCCATTGAGCCCAGGACTCTGCTAGCAGGCTATCTTGCCCTCTGGTTGAAGAAATGTGTCGTTCCTTATCAGCTTTCAGACGCCTTACCTCTCGAGGTGCTCTTCCCTGCAGTTCAGCTAGCTTATGGGAGGGAACTTTCCCTGCTCCCAGCGATGGTTGCTGGTATCCATTGTGGGCTTAGGTATCTGGTCAATGGTTTTGCGCAGGTGGGTTCTGAACCGTCGGCCGAGCTTATTTGTGTGAAGGTCGAGCTTCCTTATGCGTATCTGATGGCGTGGCTTGTTCTTCACCGTCCTGACTTGATGTCGGCGCCCAACACTGTTGATGTCCCTGTTCCTTTCGTGCAGCTGCTGGAGAGAAGTAGATGGCTAGGGAGAACATTCAGTGATGTACAACGAGAGCTTCAAGTTCGTAAGAGCTGGGAGTTCTTCAAGTGTTTTCCTCGCTTTTCGGGTCACTATGGTGATGTGCTGATTGATGAGGAGAAACCCAGGACTAATCGGACTGCTCTCGACGTTGGTTGTTTCCGCTGGTTGGTAAACATCCGCTTTGGGTATCTCGTTCTCCGGGTGAAGAATCGTTGCCACATAGAGCCTTACCTTCCCTCTCGTTTTGCTCGTCAGTTTGGCTACGACCAACTATATGTTGGGAATCCGATCCGTGGTTTGAAGGTTGAGAGAGGGCTTATTGACGACGTTCGGGCATGGCTATGGACTATGGTGGGCTGCACTGGAGCCCATTTTGCTCTTCCTTCATCTAGGCGTAAGCCGTTGATTACTTTCCTCCGTTGCAAGTGGTTCCTTTCTGCCAATGAGTCCATAGGTGTGAGGAGTCTTTCAGAGTTGCAGTCTGAGCACTTGGTTTAAGTCACTATGATGGCTGCTCGTAAGGCTGAGCTTGCTAGGAAACAGGGGAAGAAGCCTGCCAAACCTTCTCTCTTGAGCAGAGACAGGATGGAGGACGATGAAGAGATCCTTCCTACTGATGATGAGGATGAGACTTCCGAGGAGGAGTATGTGGATATAGATACTGACAAAGAAAAACTTAATGCAGGTTTGTCATGCTCTTTGGCCTTCTTTCTCAATTTCAATTGGTATCAACAAAAGGTCTTGTTCACTTATCCTAACGAAATGACTCTTATCACCCCAGGTAGGACAGTCGATGAGCATGAGTCGCTCGCTTCTCGTTATGCGAGATCCAGGCCTAGTGGCATAGCTCCTACACAGGTTGAGACGCGTGGCAAGTCCGTGCACGAACGACCCGTTGGTTCTATGAGGACTGGTATTCTGAAAAAGAAGAAGACCGTTCATAAACCATACGTTGGTCGGCGCCCCTATGGAGTGGATTTAGGAGACATCGCCGACGGAGAGGAAGGTAATATCTTATTGTCTTTATTGCTTTAAGATGGTTTACCTTCTGGGATTCGTAATCATGTTTTATGTTCCAGGACACTATGAAGAGGGCAAACTTCCACCGGATCCTGTATTCCCTGGTTCTGATAATCTGGATAGCTTCATGCAGCAGATGTGTGACGCCATTCGTGACGATTCCATGGATGTCGATACGAACCTTGATACTGAGCAGGTTAATAGCGTTGAGCCCGCCATTCCATGTTCAGGTATATCTAACTCCGATGATACCCTCCTCGAGTAGCATTTAGAAGAGTTAGGGAATTCAGGATTCATTATTTTTTTGTGCTTCGCTTTCTTTCAGGTAACTTGAAGAACCCAAGCATGGATATTGGGGAAAAAGACTTTTCTGTTCCTTCTGCAGGTACCTCTGAGCTTTTCCTTCTTTCCCCATCTTCTTATACATATATTCAACACTTAAATTATTCTGCAGATGTCGTAATAGAGAAGCCAGTTGAGGATGAGGCTTTTCCTGATGTAGGTTTCGAGGAACAGGAGTGTGTCTCTGCACCAAGTTTCTCAGGACCCGACATTGGATCATTAGTCGACATGCTGGCTGAACAGGCCACCAGAGGAACCGTGGGACCACCCTTTGAGAGTGATTCATTCACAGGTATATATCTGATTCCCTTCATTTTGCCTGATCTTTTGCCTAACTAACAGAGGATTAATATTACAGTACCAGTCATTGGGACTGATTCAGTAATGATCCCCGGCATATCTAGTTTACCTCGGAGTGACGGACTTGCAGGTATACATACGATCTAGGATGTCGTGTTCCTTTTCATTTGTTTGATTTTTTTGACTAATAGATGGGTGTAATCATAGGACCAGCCACCGGGACCGATACTCTTATGACTCCTGGCATTCCCCGTGTACCTGAGGACGATGGACTTGCAGGTATGCAGATGATCTTATCCTCCCGATTCTCCTTATTTGTCTAAATTTCCATTTTGACTAATAAAGAAGTGTAACTATAGGACCAGCCATTGTGCCTGATGCCACTACAGTTTCTGGGACCGATAGTTTGCATAAAAGCGGTGTCTCCCCGCCACAGCCGAGAGGTATAACCGATTTGCCTACAGGGGTTGATATACCCTCCATGACTACTCCTGCCGTTATCTCGGAGCCTGTCAGACCTCAGCCCAAGGGGACCTCCGTTGGCATTGGTATGCTCAGAATTCTCCTTTAAATTTTCTTATCGTATTCGATAATCTCTTAGCTTTCCACACTGTTGCTTGTAGGATCTCGGTCATCTCTATATGAGCGTGTTCGCGCCCTTTTGGCCGATACCGATCCCGACAAAGACATTTTTCGTATAGACCTCGGCCTTTTTACCGTCTTTTTTAACGGCATGATCGAGAAACTTCTTCATCGAGGATATTGTTTCGATCAGTTCAGGCATTCCTTTTCTCGCTACATGACGATGATCAGAGAAGAAGGGTATCCAGAGTTGGCCGATTCTTTCACCGTCGATTTCACTGTTCTGGAGTCGGAGATCCGAGAGTTGAAAGAATTGAAGGCTAATGAGGCTTCTTCCTTCGTGTCCTCTCAGATGGAGCATAGGCTGGCACAGTGGCGCGACCTGAGATCTTCCATCGGCCGTGAGCTTCAGTCACATGAGAGTTCCGTTGCGCAGCTGATGGCTACTGTGGCGAGGAAGGATACCGATAGAGCCGGGTTACTCAGCTCTTTGGATTCCGGCCGTGAGGAAGTGGCTAGGTTGAAGGAGGCCTTGAAGCACGCCGAGGAGTCCGTTACTATTATTGCAGAAGACCTGGCTGGATTAGAGCGTTCTCGTGGACAGGCCCTCGAGAAGCTAGGATCTACACAGGAGAGATTGATGAAGCTGAAGAATGAAGCCGTGAAGATCTTGAGCAGTTCTGAAGAATCTGTCCGAGCTGGTCTGCAGGCAGAACTTGAGCAGATTTATATAGATAGGCTTTCTAGTTTAGAGTCTCATGTTCTCAGCCGCCAACTGCCTTCGGGCTAATAGTCTTTTTATTGTACGCTTTGACCTGATCTATTAATAGAGACTCAGTATTTGATTCCTTTATGATAGTTCTTTATTTATTTTGAACCCAGCGATGATAAGATTTACAGGATTTTTGGCAAACCCCCAGCCATCAACGGGTTTGATATGCCTTTACCGATTACCGTTTGAATCGGGCTAGCATGTGAATTATTAAAACCCGTCTCACATGTAACGTTGCGCTAAGAGAATTGCTTTTCTTAGACTTAATGCTATGACTTTGAATACATAGACTTAACCATTTCTTATAGGGAAAAGGTACCCCGCGCCGCGTATTAGACGACGACTTATCCCCTCTTAGGCTTCGGGATAAAATTCCCCAGGTTTAGACCCTGGTGTCTTTTTCAATCGGCGAAAGACTAAACCGGCAATGCGTGTTAGACATAGACTTTGGGATTTTTGGCAAACCCCCAGCCCTCAACGGGTTTGATGTGCCTTTACCGATTACCGTTTGAATCGGGCTAGCATGCGGATTGTCTAAATCCACCGATTACCGTTTGAATCGGGCTTACATGCGGATTGTTTTAAGCCCGTTCCGCATGTAACGTTGTGCTAAGAGAGTGAATTCTCTGAGACTTTGTGCTATGATGTCGAATACATAGGCTTCGCCCTTGTTACGGGAATAGGCTACCCGGCAACACGTGTTAGGTGTTGACTCATCCCTACTTAGGCTTCGGGATAAAATTCCCCAAGTTTAGACCTTGGTGTCTTTTTAATCGGTGAAAGACTAAACCGGCAACGCGTGTTAGGCGTAGACTTATCTCTATTTAGGAGTTGAGATAAAATTCCCCGTGCACGAAGTGCCCGGATTGGAAGTTGGGAATTGTGTCTTTTCTAAGAACAAAGACAGACTGAAAAATGGGAGAGGAAGAATTTTATATTCTATCTCCCGGTACTGAAGAGGAAGAATTTTATATTCTATCTACAGTTGGAAAGGAAACTCAAGGTGGGATCTCCACCCCTAGAATCCGAAAAGATAAAACTAAGAGTGGGATCTCCACACGACCCTAACTTTTATAGGATTGGTCATTTGAATCAAAAGAATCCATCATTCATTGAGGAGAAAGCCCAATTTCGACCCTAACTTTTATAGGTTTGGTGGAAAAATAAACAAAGGCAGACTTTCGTTTATCGAAAAGGAATGACTCGGTCTTAGTCCTAACCATTTGTAGGCTTGACTAAGTGAGATTGGGAACAATCCTAACTTTTATAGGTTTGATTGTTCGAATTGAAAGTGGACCTCTCGTTCATGGAAGGAATCGAGAGAGGAATTTGGCTTTGGCCCTAACTTTTATAGGTTTGACCTGAAAGCAAAGAGAGTGGAATACAGGTAGCAATGAAAATGCCAACTCGTATTATCACTCGAAGGAGGACTTTAATGCTAAGTAATTAGGACCTAACATGTTGAGTTTGAGAATTGCCAATGACTGGCGGATAGAATTTTTGGTGGATCCACCGTCAATTAATTTGATCAACGGATGGTTTGGTGAGGAAAGATTAACCTGTTAAAGGATTGGATCTCGTCTCACAAAAAAAAATAACTCATGAGAGTTAGAGAATTTGACAATAATAAGAAGAAACATTCCAACATTCAGAGTTCGAACGTGGATTTCTTATTCATCACTTCTACAGTGACTGGGTTATCCCTAAGAATACCAGATGTGGTATTCTTCCGGGAACTCCCCGATACATTAGTTATCCTGAAGATACTAAGGGTAGTATTTTTTTAGGAACTTGCCGTTTATCGGCATCATAAGCCGGTCGCCGTCCTTGGTGACTAGGCGATATGCGCCACTCGAGTAGACTGTCTCTACTACGAACGGTCCCTCCCATTTGGGTTCAAATTTGCCTTTCTTCTTGGAGTTAAGAATCATAGGTTGCCTTTCGGCTAGAACCAAATCCCCTTCTTTGAAGCTCCGTTGTCGAACCTTTTTGTCGAAAGCTCGAGAGATTCTGGCTTGGTAGAATTCGATATGCTATTGAGCTTCTAAACGCTTCTCATCTAGCCTTTCAAGTTCTTCAAGGCGCTTCTGATGTTGCTGTTCGGTCGTTATTTGAGTCGCGAGGGCAATTCGAAGTGACAAGATTTGAATTTCCAATGGAAGAACGGCTTCACATCCGTATACCAGTGAATATGGGGTCGCTCCCGTCGGTGTGCGCACCGTGGTACGATAGGCCCATAGAGCCGCGCCAAGCTTGTCATCCCAGTCTCGTTTATTAGTTTTCACGAGTTTCAACAAAAGCTTTATGATAGTCTTATTGAAGGCTTCGGCCAATCCATTCGCTGTGGGATTGTAAGCTGTCGACGAGATGTCCTGAATTTTGAACTTTTCGCAAAACTTGATAAATGCATTGCTGATAAATTGGGGACCGTTGTCATGTATGATTCGTCTTGGGACACCATGCCGGTAAATGATATGGTGCTTGATGAATGCAATGACGTTGCTCGTTTTAACTTCTCTGAGCGGGACCGCTTCGGCCCATTTGGAGAAGTAGTCGGTAATTGCTAGGATGAACCGATCGCCTTTGACTGACGGGGGATTTATAGGACCAACGATATCCATTCCCCAGGTCTCAAACGGCCATGACGTAACCGAAGGATGCAGATGCTCCGGAGGTTGGTGCATATAATTCGCATGTATTTGACATGCATTACACTTTCGGGCATACGCTACTGCATCACTCATCATAAAAGGCCAAAAATATCTCATTCTTCTGATGCGGTCATAAAGCTTGGGGCCGGGTTGGTGCGCGCCACACTCTCCTTCGTGTGCCTCTTTAAGGACTTCTTCAGCTTCTTTAGTCGATAAGCAACGTGCTAGCAATCCATCGTACCCCCTGCGGTATAGTGTTCGATTCTCCGTATTATAGTAGAATCTCGGCGCTCTTCGTCGGATTGAATCTCTTTCTTTTACATCTTCTGGGAGGATTCCATGCAAGATGTAATCGATGATAGGGAAACGCCAATCTCGGGGCTCGAACTCCACTTGAGTTGAATGTGTTTCCTTAATATCTTCTTCCTCGCCATCTTCATCATAGATCGGTACTAGGAGTTGGTGAGTCCTTACCGTAAAAAACTGTTCTGTTTCAGGAGGCTGCGCCAGGGATACGGCTAATGCCGCTAACGCGTCTGCGTAGGTATTCTGCAACTGTGGAATATGTTCGATAAAGAATCCTTCGAATGATTCTGCCATCTCCACTGCCATCTTATGGTATGGTATTAAATCCTGGCTTCGGACCTCGTATTCTCCCAGAACTTGTTTAACTATCAGTTGAGAATCACTGAAGGCTTCGAGATACTCAACCCCCAGTTCTTTGGCGAAACTGAGTCCTATGAGTAATGCATTATATTCGTCTACGTTATTTGAGCACGGCTCGGTCAGTGAGTAAGCTCGAGGCATCACGTGTTTTCCTGGGGAAACTAAGACAACTCCAACTCCGGAAGAAATCTTAGAACCTCCAGGAGTACTCACTACATTAGCTGCTCGTGAAGCGCCGTCGAAATACAAACGCCATACTTGCTGGTGCGAAGTTGCGTTGACTTCGTGGGTTTCATCAGGTAGGTCGTCATATATCTCGGCGGTATCCGTAGTTGGATTAGCTGCCAGGAGATCACAGATGGCCTGTCCTTTTACTGACTTCTGTTGTTTAAAATGTAAGTCGTATTGGGACAATAGTAAGGCCTATTTTGCTAATCGCCAATTCATGAAAGCTGGTTGAGTCATGAATACTCGGACTGGGTTAATCTTAGAGATAACGTAAATGGTCTGTCCAACCAGATAATGCCGCATCTTCTGAATAGCGAACACCAAGGCGAGGCATTCTCTCTCAATCATAGGATATCGAGATTCAGCGCCTACCATGGTTCGGCTTAAATAATATACCGCCTGCTTATGACCGTTATCATCATCTTGTGCAAGTAATGCACTTAATGAGTGGCTCGTCGCCTTGACATAAATCAATAACGGTTTGCCTGATATCGGTGCGACGAGTACGAGAGGTTTTGAGAGATATTCTTTAATACTCTCGAATGCCTTTTGACAAGCGTCATCCCATACAAATGACACGCCCTTCTTTGTGAGCTTGGAGAATGGTTGGCATTTTCCTAAGAGGTTCGAGATGAACCGACGGATATAAGCTAACCGCCCTTGCAATCCTCT